CCAAGAGCGTATTTAGCCTGGTTTGCACTGCTAAAGCCTTGGATATATCGCTATACACCTTCGTCGGTTGTTTCACCCAGCGCGAAAATTCTCTAGTAAAAATGCTCTAGCTGTGGGAGAGACACCAGCAGTTAGCAGCCCCATGTCAGCGATTCCAGTCTCGACAATTATTTCTGTGGTTTCCAACGCTAGAGATATTCTGGGTGTTACAAAACCAGACATAATTCGAAACGTAAAGCTGGATTTAAGCCCGATCTCAAGTTAATCGGCATCCGGCGAAGCATATAAATGCATATTTTGTCTCTGTCTTATCTTGTGCACAAGAGCCACCCCACTATATACCGAAGGAGAGAGAGCCATTGAACCACCAGCACACACTACACCGGCTAAATCTTGACAAATCGAGTGTCAACTAAGTGGTATGTATCTACATAGGGAAAAAAGTCTTCGGTAAATGAGACCGTTATTAAGGACGGCATAGGGGCTCTTCGAAAAGCCATGTTATCTCTTGGAGGCTGCCGATGTATAAATCAATATTTACAAGATGAATAGTTAGTTATATTGGAAATAGTCAATAACGCTAGCAAAGCAGAGGCATATCTCAGTTTGACAAGATCATGAGCGTTTATGTCCAAGATAATCAAATGGGCAGCAGCAGGGACTCTTCTAAGAGCCCTTTCTATTTTGAAAAGTCATACCCTCTCAAGTGAAACCTGCATCCAGTTATGCAGTCAGCAGCATACCATTAAGAAATATAATTCCTGGGTGAAAACTAGGAGCTTGCTCGGGACTATTCTGGGCCACGGTGAGCAACTATGCATAAAATTATATTCCCTATAACTAGATTCTGTGTTTCTGTGTCGTTCTTTATGCTTCTTACGCTTTTTTTTCTGGTGTGATATGACCTCAAATTCTTGGTGGTTAGAACAAATGATGAAAGACGCCGAGATATATCAATTGCTACGACGCTAAGCTACAGCCAAGCCGGTTGGCTCCTTCATTAAATCCCATTGAATACACTTAAGTAACATGCGGGAGATTCGTGTACAATATTTGGAGATATATGTCCCTAAGGGAGATTGACCTCTCCTAGCTTGAATGCTGGAATAATCTTATTAACTCGGGCCTAGGATCCCCACCCCCCATACTCACCGATATTTGCAGCTCGGCAAATCCGGTACCTTGCGTAGCGCCGTGCAACAAGAGGTCACAGCCCACAACCGAGGCAGGCAAGTACGGCAGCTAACTCGATACGGAAAGCTCCGCGCTTGAGACCCTCTTTGCCTACAATACAAACGTGAATTCACTACTGAATTGAGAATGGCACTAAAGACTAGATCTCATAGATGAAAGAGTGGGTACACCACCATCCAACCTTCGGTCAAAGATTCCAGAAGAAAAAGACGTGTCCCGGGGATCTCCGTAGCCATACGACTCTGGATACTATATTAACACTATTGATTTACTACTTTTTAGAACAGTGGGTCTACGTCGATCCTAACTCAAAGCATAGATAGGCCAATGATTATAAGAATCAATAGTGCAGATTTAAAGCTCTACAGTAATAGAATCCTTGTCACTGACGAAAGACAGAGAATGTAGTGGATACTTTACATAACCATAAAGGTAAGTTATAAGACATTTAGTCCGATGCTGGTGTGATAAGGTAATATGAACGTACCCTGTATAGAAGCACTACTAAAAGAGACAAAAAAAACAGGAAGTATAGGTCACGAACCACGATTGTATTCCTACCACGCTGATCGAAGGATCGACACCAAAAATAGGATAGCGCATAGGCCAGAGAGGGGCGCTGCGAGGTGTTCGCGATATGTCAAATTTTCTCCGCGTACTCCGGTGATGCAAGAGAAAAAGCTCACATCAGCCGCGTGTCTAGTTGATCTGATTGGACTAGCTCAGACTCCGCGACAAACCTATTCTCCTCTCGTGAAAGCCTAATCTATCTACGCGATCGTCTCCAGAGCAGGCCACGGGACTGACATGAGACATATCATATATTATGTAGGTGACAACTCCGACGGAGTAGCTTTACCGACTCAAAACAAGTTTATGGGCGTTGTATCCGCTTCAGTCAGTGTGATGCTCCTCGCAGATCCTCTGCAGCGGCTGTGACACCCCATCGTGCGCGAGAGTGTCATGGTGTGAATTCACCGCTATATGATGCATCGGGTAGGTAGATGTCTATCAGCTATCTCATGCATTGGTGCCCTCGAGCGCGGGGCTATGGAAGACAAGGGGGTTTGTAAGGTTGTATTTCCGCTCGGTATGATTCGATGCCACTGTCGCTCCTCGCGTTAGGATTCTTTTTCCTAGTACGGGATCCGATGAGTTACTGTGCATACATACTGCTATAGGTAGTCCCCGATACAATAATGCCGGGCGCTACCTATTATCATAACTAGTTTGTATGTGTATTGTATGTAGTATATTCATGGTGGCCATGCCTAAATTATCCTAAATTCCTATTTAAGTCGGTAGACGACCGGCTTCATACTCTGTTTCTCTGTGTATTGTCATAGTTCCTTTTTTTTTTTTCTTTCTTTGTTTCTTTCTTTCTTTGTTTCTTTCTTTCTTTCTCTTTCCTGTTAGTTAACGTGAATAAAGTGTAACTATTCGGTGTGTCGTTTATACATACTTCGAGGATGATCTGTGTCGACAGCAAATCTAAAAGCCTGCGACCGAAACCGTCCTTAGTTTTGTTATGACTACCGGCTATCTAATTCTAGATTTAGGCAATCAAGTATTTCCCATAATAATAGACCAACCTAGAAAATCAATACTCAAAAAATGCTACACAATTCATTTTCAAGGGCGGCCCGGCTTCTCCTTGTCGCAGCCACAAATCTGGGAGTTAAGATGTCTCAGTACATGTGGGTACAAGAAGGATGGGAATCAAAATGTGGCTCGGCGTATCAGGGTGGTAGATCACTGAGTTTTCAGATTTCCGAAATACTTGGGTCGCACGCCATCGCTCAGCAAGCGTAAGTTATTTAAGTTAATTATTCAAAGCCTCCGATAATTCTCCATGTGGCAGCCGATCATCTTGAAGATTGTCGATTCCTTAGCCTCATTCACGTGGCTGGCATAAATAAGTCTGGGGACTGGGGCACACTCGAAGGAAAACAAGACGGGCGAATCAATCTTAAAATTCGTCTGTAAGAGCTTGTAGAATCGTTTCGATGGTGCGCTTTGAACCAGGTGCCAGTTGTTACCTTACCTAGGTAAGTAGTTACGGATTAGATAAAGGTCTTGGGCCTGGTATGCGATTCTACTATGACAGCTGGCAATACCATATAATGATTGCTTGGCTTTACAGGCACCCACATATTGTAAGAAATTTTACCACTGGCATTGTCTAAGGGCATCGGTAGATGTTTTCTGTCCGGTATAGTCGCGAGTGGACCGAAGTTTAAGCGCTGTCAAAAGGGGTAGACACTCCGAGGAAACTTTGGAGGCGACGTCATGGGGCACTAGGGCACTTAGCAATATTGGAGGCACGAATCCCGATCGGAGTTTGGTTTTTGGTATTTGGATTTCCAGGCCGGCATCTCTGGGTCGAGGTGGGTCAACAGGGAGTGGCAGGTTGAGCGGACGAGGGGTGGAAAGTGGGCTAGGGAGAACTCCAATATTGAGAGTTTTGTAGTTGGATCCTAAACCGGAGATGGTTGGAGACAAGTTGAATCCATGGTCAGAAGATTATTGCGGCCCTAATATTGAGTCGTCTCGGCACCTGGCATGGCCGATCCTGGAGAGAGCTTATTATTCGGGTCTTTGCGGTGCTAGAAATTGAGGTCGGCATGGAAGTATTCCGACGCCCCATTGACATAATGGGATTATAAGAAGTTAAGAACAATACTAACTAACAGGGACCCTGTTATTCATCTTTAGGGGGAAGTGGATTAATAGAGTGAAAGGATACCATTGCTGAGGAAGAAGTGTCTTTGGTGCTCAGCTCGAGGAGGGGCTACGGAGATCTCGGATCGGATTGGCTCAAATAGTGGCCCCCCTTATGCCGCCCAGTCGTAAGGCACGATCCACGTTTCCCGTCATGCGTGCAATAATAATACGAGATCGCCGGATTTTGCTGAGTGGGGGAAGTGGTAGTTACGGTATGCGTATCCATCAGTACATGATTACTCCGTACAGTATTTCTGTTCAATTCAAGAGAGCTATTTATGTGCTGATCTTGTGGAGCAAAGAAACCTCAAATAATGATGATTATTAGTAATGCAGGAGAGTTTCGGGCATCGGCCCTAGATCTTCCCTGCCTAGCAACTTAGGACATGCGATGTAAGTATAGATATTAGAACGATGCAACAAGTGCCTAGGTAGCTGGAGAGAGAGAGAGAGAGAGAGAGAGAGAGGGAGAGAGAGAGAACAGAATTATGATGACATGGCATCCAGTGATTGAAATTTCCTTTGCTATCAAGATCCGAGGACCCGTTTTCCCCTTCACAAGCGGCCTGGTAAATAACATGCATAGCAAAATTAGGGTATCAAAAACAGGAAATCTGAAGGGACCCTCTCTGCCTTGCCTTTTCACAGAGCAAGAATCCTATATAAAGTAGCAAGGAATAATGTAAAACAATGTAAAACAGTCTTGAAACATATCAAGGAAGACATCAGGAGAAAGGAAAAATGTGAAAATGAAACAAAAACCAAATGCCAGTCTATCCCTATTTGCCGTGTACCAAACCCCATGAATCGTGAAAATGAGCTGAAAAGGGAATATGAAGATGGAATCAGGAAAGGTGGGAAGAAGAAATTTCCCAGTCGTAAGCCAAATGAACGCTTGAAGTTGCGACGCCATGAACCTTGAAATATATGCGAACAAATGAAAAATCAAGGCCGTGGTCAATAGAGACGTGAACCGATGCCAGGGTCCTAGCCGTCATGAAGAAATAGACGAGGCGTTGATATGTCGAGATAAATAAACCCATTACGACTCGAGTGAGCGCTGCTCAATCTCAACTCAGGGCTTAGTGGTGCGATGAGGGTAGCGGCTCTTGATCAATGTCGCTAAATGGAGAGTGCCTGGAAGAGTCGGCATCGCCTCCACCGCTTCGCATTTGATTCCGCAGTGCTGGAAGCTGTCTCCGTCGTGCGTTGATAAACCAGTTGCTGATCTAAAATCCAGATGTTAGTCACGATGCCATCATGTTACTTCGACCTGTTCTTCTTACCTGGCTGATCGATAGGCCAGTTCGAGTCATGAACATCTGCTTATCCTCTTCGCTAGGATATGGGTGATCTAGATGCTCATGGAACCAGGCCCGCAAGATATCCGTCACTGGTTTAGGTAAGTTACCCCGTCGACGCTTCGTCTTGGGATCAATCGGGTCACCCATGATGCCAAAGTTGGCCTGCTGCGGGTGCGTCATCATTGCTGGCGACATTTGCTCGGGGTCGCCGGGGTAGGGCATAGCTGGGTGTCCATAGGGTGGTTGGCCGTGCATTACTGTGTTTGTATAAGGCTCCGCATTTCGTCGATCGCCCATCGCTCCCGGAATCGGACCTGGCTGGCCCGAACGATATTCTTGTGCAAATGGGTCGGAGCGAGGGGCGGCCATTCTATTATCAGGATATCCTTTCCTGTCTGGCATGGGTTGAAGGTCCCGTATGGGTGGAAGAATCGGACTAGGGCCTCGCGAGGCATGGTCCCCGAGTCTCATGGATAGGTGATCGCCCATCGGTCGGGGTGAGTGCTCGCCTGCACGGGTTGTATATTCGCGGGAATTTTCGCCATAAGATGTTTTCGAAGAGGCATTAGGAGAGAAGCCGGGCATTGATCTGGGATCGGCTGCCATTTCATGGCCGGAGGAAGGACGCTCCTGCGATTGGTGACGGGAGGCATAGTATGACGCGGAGGAGTCGATCTCTTCATGGAGGTGCGGTGGGAGGAGCTACCGATGTACTTTGTTAGCACGCTAGTGATTAGGGCGTATTCTTACAGGCGCTTTCACTCACTTCGCGAAATGATGGAAGCGTTTGAGGGTGACCGGCGGCCGGTGCCCTGCTTGCATACGAAATGGCCATGTCGGTATCGTCGTCCAAGTCCCGGGACCGTGACATAGACAAGGCTTATAATAGGCGGGGAAGAACGGAGCAGGGCGAGTATATATAATCAAGACAGAAGATCAATCGGGCAAACTATACGAAGCGCGAGTTCACTGTCAGAAATGCAGGCTTCTAGGGTATCGATCGAGATCTTCCAGGCTAATCCAAATTGCTTTTCACCATTTGAAAAGGCCAAGTGGAAGACGGGAGAGGTGGAGTTGTAGATAGAAAAGAAGATCGGGAGGGAAGAGGTAAGGTGTGGTAGTGGTCGAGTGTTGAACGGCTGGATAGCAGCAGAAGGAATTGCGTTGTGAACACTCACTCTGGGAACCTTGCCTGGTTTTACGTTGACATCGCAGGTCACCGAAAGGCCAAGATTAATGCAAGGTTGGGGAATGAGGGCGAAAAGATGGGACAGCGGTTTTTAGAAATCAAAGTAATGCAGGGCCCTTGTACATTTTATTTGATTTCCCCTCCGCCCCAGAATAATAATTAAAAAATCGAAAAAAAAAAAAAAGGAATATTAATTATATATTCAAAATCCCAATCCAAGCAGACATGTTCCGAAGACCCAGCTGTTACATATCCATGGAAAAGCAAGAACAGGGGGGGGACCCAGAAAAATGACGATCGTGGACATGAAGTGGAGACTGGAAGGAGCCACAAACTACGGAGCCACAGCAGTAGCGCTCCGTGTTCTCGAGGCATGCAGAGCGGAGAAGAGGGGGTTGTGCAAATCAAGAACCCTATGGAGCATCCTTAAGGTTGACCTTTGACAGATAGCGCCAAGGATCCTCTCATCTGGTTCCTGTCATCCTGGAATCGGCTGTCGTGTTAGCGCCAGGATCTATCAATTGGCGGGCTCTCAAGAACTACTGTTCCCTTCCCCCGGTTCCACGCTAAGTCATTCCTGGTTCCGTTCTGCTCTTTTGGGAGGTTCCCATTTTTTTCGAGTGTCTATTATCAGTGCTGTCTCATATTCCGATCATTACGTTATCGTCCTCTTTCGGAGCAGAGAATTTGAGCTGACCTTGTTGGATCGGTATTAGTTATTAGCAGTTTGTTATCAGGTTAGGATAAAAAGGGGAAGGGAGGAGACAAAGTATTCCTTAGGCCGGTCGAACTTTTTGGACGGGCGCGACCTTGGATTGAATGGTTTGGCGCCTGGATAGGTAGTATCGGCTGAAAGGTAATAATAATGATGGGGTTAGGGCAGAACGGAGGAAAGGTAGACAGACAGCTGAAGATCTCCATTCAGCCGCGGCAGATGGAAATCCGATCTCATAAATTCAAAACCACACTACAAGTTTGAGGGAACCTCAAAAAATAATCACGATAATCGGATTTTTCCCCCAAGACTTTCGAGTATTCACAGAGACTTTAGATGTTTCTTTTAAATAAAATGTCACTAGCGAGACTCAAGGGATATATTGATTATGGAATAACGAGCACGACATCCCAGGGCCAGGTGAAAGCAACCCAACATCGTCGATGCATAGGGCCAGGAAATTGGGGGAGGGTGTGTAGCAGGCAGACGAGACAAGTAATAGAAGTGGGATGCCGGCAACAATAGCCGTAGAGCGGGCAGTTCGTACTGTAAATGGAGGATGGAAGGGAGAAAAATCAGAAATAAAAAAAAGAAAAGAAAAGTGGGGAGAGACGGCATTCTGGCATTCACAACGTACGGAGTACAGTACCGTACCTGAGTCAGGCTGAAGTTAATTAATTCAAATACTGAACTCGAACCGGACATGGAATTATTATTATTTCTTCTCCAATAGTAGTAGTGGGAAGTAGAATTATTCCACATGGGAAAAGAAGGAGAAAATGGATAATTTGTCCCCCTTCAGAGCGCCCGTCGCCCGAGCATACAGAATTGTACTGTAATCTGGTCGAATTCAGTCAGTCAGGCAGATTGGGGCTCGGGGCCCTGGGAGTCAGATCATTTCACTCTTGCTTTTTTTTCTTAGCCTTCGGTTTCCTTCTTTGCTTGGTCGCTCTTTTTTGACGGTAGCAGAATTTGGAACAGTTCGTCGTGTGGTTAAAAGTCAAACCAACCACATTACGAGTGAGTGTGGATCTCCAACCCAGAAAGCGGGCTCCGAGTCGAAGGGAAAAGATCGCCAGAGCCCTCGCCGCGTCGCTGGGGCCGTTCCACATCGCAGGTTGTCACAGGAGTGCCATGGCTCACTGCGACTGGTTCCCAGCCCGATCGCGAGGCGTCCCGAGGAGCTTATCCTGGGTGGTGGGTTAATATTGGTTAAGAAGTCCTAGGCTCCGGATAGGACGAGGAGACCATGGGCCGATGATCCATACTATTGGATAAGCCTGGGATGAGAAGACAAGGGAGCTAGCGTACGAGCCTGCATATTGGCGTGGGGGGATCCGAGAGATCTGGAGGGAACGATCTGGACTCCCCTTGACCTTGGCCTTGGGGGTTGAAAAGCGGACAGAGGAAGTAGCGGTAGTAGCCGTAATAAGTTGTTACAAGGGCCGGTCATGCTCGGTGGATAGTTAGTGGCTGTACGGGATAGGGAATACTCCGCTATAGTTGGGGAAGACAAGGGAGGGGAGGGGTGTGGAAGACAAGGAATAACATGACGGACATGCACGGCTCGATCCCAGCCGGGAGCCTCTGATCAGTGGGCACGGAGATCGATCGACCAGACACGAGAATAAAAGTACAAATAATAATCATGGTGAGGGGCTGGTCAGCTCAGGTGAAATCATAATACTCCATACTGTATCCTGTGGCGCTGTGGACTTGGCACATCTCCAAGGCCCGATAAAATCAGGACCAGAACCAGATGGATAGATCTCCTAGTGTGTGGTTAGTGGTAGGGGTTCTTCAATGATCTCCACTTCCTTCCAGATGAACCCAGCGTGTGGCGTAGCAGGAGGCCCGGATCCACGCTGCGGTCGCGCTCCGTACGTCAGATCACCCACACGGAGAATCCGCATGGCTCCATCCATGACGCGAAGCCTGACAGAGGGTTGCGCTTTCATGGTCCATCCAATTTTCCTCGCTTGGAGACGATCGTACTGTATTATTAGCGGGGAATAGTGAAAATGGATGTGGGTATAATGGTCAGCCACCTTTTTAGAGCTGGAGGAGCCGGTGAGAGCGTAAGAGGGATTTCACTTGCTGGAGTATTGATAATACTACTGAGCTGTTCTCGGGGAGGGGATCGTGAATCATGTCCAGAGAATTTGTTTGGTGCATATGATATCTCAAGCAGTGTCCATGCCAGCGAGGGGTAGGGGGACTACAGACCACTTGGTTAAGGGGAGGGGCAAAGCAAAACTGACGTGGAGAGGGTCCGGGATCTGATGGCACCAGAAAAACAACTCCGTCCTCGGTTGAAAGGCCATGAAAAGCTCTCGCGAGTAGTCTGGATAGATGATTATTATTTTCCTGGGCTACTTCGACGGATATTGACAGCTAGGCTCTCCCGTTGGACCGTACCCTGCAATTTAATCCCCTCCCACCCAGTCTCACATCCCCTATCGCGACTATGCTATGCCATGCGGCTCGCATATCGCATATCGCACGCTTCCGCCCTGTCGTGCGCTGGCATGGTTCAGCTCTCGACACTAGACTCGCTAGCCTCTTTTCTAGTCACGCCAAAGGTCCAACTGGGTGACAAGGCGGATCCTCTCGGGTGGATCACCTCCTAACTGGCCAGTGGCTACTGTCCTACTCAGTGTTTATGACCTCCGTACGTACTAAGTCGCATGTACATAGTGCTTACCTACGAATGATACAAAGTAACTACTACGTACAGCATTAACCAAATAGTGGTTCATGTCAGATTAACACACCCTAATCGTGAGCTACACTCTTTAATATATAGCGAGATAGGATATACTTCAAAATAGAAAGGCATGTGGTGCATGGATTGTACAAGGTCTCCTCACAATTTCGGTACAGAGCAGCTACACACATGTTGCGAGATTTGAGTGGACGAGAACGAGGGTGACAAAGAAAAGGCTATCGGAGATCCTCCACTGAGTGGGGCGTCTGACGCTCCGCGCAAAAGCTGCTCGGGAATCGGGAATACCGATCCTGTTCTCCAGTCCACATTCTGCGATGCGCACTCGGTACGTTTTACTGGCCAGTGATGTAGAGAAAGTGAAAAGCAAAAGAATTAAACAGAGACCGAAAACCACCGAAAGAACTTAGCCAATAACAAAATTGTTGAAGCCAGGACGAGCGCCATCGAATCCATGGCACTAAAATCCACAAGTCGACATTACCGTCCAATCACACCCAAAATGAAGGACATCGGGGTTGAGCCCACTTTACTTGCTGGAGATTGGACTGCGAGGTTGATGTGGCGGTTCCCACCTGAAATACATACAGTACATCTAGACTTCCGAATTTGGGATCCCTTCCCAGCAGAGGACACCAGAGCATCTTCCATGATCGACCGAATCCAGGTGAGATAATGGTAGAGCCAAAGAGCGATGGCCTCACTACCCAGACCAATGTAAACGCCATGGTCTCACCGAAGTTTGGGGCCATTCGTGTTAAGCGCATCAATGTGACACTCGTTATGCTCGTCATGTCCCTCCCCAAAAGATGCGGTGACACTGGTGACTAACCTGACATCGAATTTACTTTTAGATTTGCCTCTCTAGTTTGTCGGGCGAAGCCTCGGGCGCTCTCCGCATGACATACTCGCATCCCGACGCTATCGGCTCACTAGTTCTAATTCTAAGTTTAAGTGGCCCCCGTCACGGCGTGTCTGTCTTCGCTGAATGTAGCAGTCAGCCCCGGGGCATACATACTGGGTCTTGGTATAAGGAGACGCCACGATCAATGCAGTGGCATGCAGTGGCTGGTATTACTTTCGATCAAATTAACAGGGCGAATCCCTCCGTTAGATCTATGTACATCAATGTGTGAAGGTGCCCTCTGTACTACGCCAGCAACCCATTTCAGATACCACTAATCAATTGAGTTTACTATGGAATTCGAGATTAACCTCGTGGAGGCTTCAGATCAGATCGGCTGGGCCTTTCATGATTTGCCCATCATTCAAGGGTGACAGGTAAAAAGAAAAGAAGAAAAATAGACAGCAGATCTGGTTCATGTGGAGTTTTGCGGCTGGGAAGAATCCCCTTACTCAAAAATTAGCCAGTGTTATCTGATTTCCTATTTTCGTTTTCCCCACGCCAGCCCCTTGTAGTCAGTTTCTGCTTGTATTGCCGATTCGATAATCCTACCATATGACCCAAGGACTTAATTAATGTCATAGGAAGAGCCTACGAGGTAGTAGTTCTTAGTTATGAAAGTAAATAAAGAGGTGGGGGTGGTGGCAAAGAAAAAAACCCCAAAATAAAAAATGGAAGTGGAAATGATAATGATAATAATAATGAAATCAATTGAGAAAAAGTAATTCTCGTTCAATAACAGGGGTGCCGAACTTCTCCGCCAATAGACTGGCTTATTCTTGCCCCTCCCGGCCACCTTTAGGCACGTTCAGGCACGAAAGAAATGATTTACTAAAATCAGTTCCATGCCAATAAAATTTAGCGGGATCTTCATCACACAAATATCCGACATTCGTGGAATTCGAGATCGTGCTCACAAGAGAGCCGGGATGCAGATCATCGGATCATGTACCAGATATTTACGCTATGTCTGGTACTGTAGTAATAAACATGGGGCCTAGGAGGTCGGCCACGGGAATAATAGGCAACGAATGAATTACTCTCTCTATATTTCAGCCACGAGAATAGAAATATAAAAAAAAAATTACCGAATGTATCTTAATGCGCCATGCAGGAATTTGTCATCGTGCAACCCAGCTATCCCGGTACTCGGGTTTGGGCGATCACAGTTCATCCCCCTTTTTAGGAATATCATTGGGCGCCTACGCGGCCGCTCCAACCCCGGCAGGAAAGAACCTTATTTTCAGGCCAGTCCTGGGCCCAATGTGACATAAATGTCACTTATTATTACTGAGTCTGTTTAGTGTCAACATGTGACGGGTAACTAAAATCAAGCCAAGTGATGCTAGCGAAGAGGGTCCTTCCTAATCCGATTTATAGGCGACTAATTATAGAGTTTACAATCACGAACCTACTATTATCATAGTCATATATTAATGAGCAAATATTGATTTACAATGAAGGATCGATCGCCAGTTCTACAAGTAGTCTATTCATGTGGCTCATTCTTCTGGATTCACCTGCCTATGGATATGATTTCGACCCTGCTAAGGCGAGATCACAATCGGGGCTGGGTCGGTCTGGTCGCCCTGTAAATATCATTCTGGTATGTGGGGGGAGGGAGGTCGGCCCTTGGCAGCGCCCCTGCAGGGCACCCAGTGCGATGCAAGGAAATCTGGTCTTGGACGGGCGGGCTTCGCCCTGTCGCCTGTCAGTCTTTGAGTTCAAGCCAAGGCGTTCCAGCGTCCCAACCTCCTGGTTTCCGGGGAAAATGACGATCTCAGATCTGCCCAAATGAACCTTGTAGGCTTTTACAGTACATCTCTTTTTGCCAAAACTACTGCGCATTAATAGTGGTACGGTATATTACGACCCTACGTGCTAGTACAGTCCATAATTAACTCTCCAAACCGCTCGGTAAGGGGTGTCGACCCAGCATGGCTTCCCGAGGCTCGGGGCCAAGGCAGATCAATTACCTTCTCATCGGCCCTTCCATAATCCCTGTCCATTGCTTATAAACAAATTTACTTCGGCTTCAGCCTCAACGCAGATCAGTGTCCCTACGATCTCGTGGCTTGATACGGCATATAAATAGTTAATAACTATAGCACGGACGGATACCATACGTTTCATATATCATGATGGGTCACAAGAGTTACAAATTACAGTCGGGATCGGACCTGTTTTAAGTGCCCGTGTCTTCGAAAATAATGTGCTTGCCCTTCAGTGGCAACTTTTGAAGTGAAATAAGAGGCCATACACCCTTATGAGGTGACTTGCTACAATGTAGGTATCTACTTGTTTATCTAAATACTTTTAATGTGATATAATATGATAATAAGACGATAATATCACGCTCAATGAGAATAAATCTAACAAAGGAGCTCGAGGTAGGAGTAAGAATGTGACCTAGATAGCTGTTGCCGGCGTCTGGGGTCGTTAAAAATTCCCTCTTACATCAACTAATCGGCCAAATTACCAAGGAAAGATAACTCTCTTGCTCTGCTACTTTCTTATGAAGAGTGAACATTAGGATGTAATCCCCGTCGCTTCGAAATGTTATTGATGCTAGCTTTGTTACCTTCTGACTACCCGCACATCCAATATAGCACTCGAGGTTGACCCAGAAGAGAAAAATGGAAATTGATTACGTCGAGGGAGTACTTAGCGGTCTGTCCCGTTTAAAAGTGGTACCACAGAGGATCAAATTGATGTATGATACAGTGGATGCTGCATTCCTGCAGGCCAACAGGATTCATGTACAGTGAAACGGGGTATCAAACGGCTCTGATCCCAGGTCACTGAAGGTTGGTTCCATGCTTACGGAGGCGTTGAGGTATTGATGTTAATAAGAGATATATTGTATCTCTTCTGTGTATCAGCCAAGTTCACTGATCTGATTGGAATATAGGATCTAGTCTTGGAAGCCTGGCCATTGGTTAAGAAAGCCTACAACGGTGCCTTATTTGGCTCCCAGGGGAGAGCGAGGTTGATTATATCTGCCCGCATTTCGATTATTGTGGGCGTGATCTTTCTTTCTCTAATTTAAGAGCTAGCATACACGGTGCGACTTTTCCACGGGCCTGTCTCGTTCAACCTTTTTCCTCATAAACCATAATCGTGTCTATTTCGCGAGTGTGTTGCCTAGCTCAGCAGCTCGGGAAGTAGCAGCCTTGACAGCCTTGTCGACAGTCTCCTTGAATCCAAGGGCCTCGAAGGTCTGGAGGGCGGCATACGTGGTACCATTGGGGCTGGTGACATTCTTGCGCAGCTGGCCAGGCTCGTCAGATGACTCAACGAGCATCTTGCCGGCACCGAGGCAAGTTTGCGTTGCTAGACGAGTAGCTTGCTCTTGGGAGAGGCCCAGTGAGGTGGCACTGGCAACCAGATGCTCTACCATGGCAAAGAAATAAGCAGGGCCGGAGCCTAGTTAGATGTTAAATCCTGGCCATCCAAAAGTCGGGCGTTGCGTTCAGATATACGTACCAGACAAACCAGTCACGACATCCAGAAGCTCCTCCTTGTCCACCCACTCGGTGGCTTTGCTAACACTGCTCAGCAGAGAGTTGACGAGCTCTTTCTCGGCAGCAGTCACATCCGCACTAGCAAAGGCACCGGAGGCACCCTCACCTACTAACGCAGGAGTATTGGGCATCACGCGGACGACATGTGCAGACCGGCCATCACTGGTCCGAGACCACTCCTGTAGACTGTTGAGGGTGATACCCGCCGCAATGCTAACAACGACGGGGAGTGTCTGGCGCTGCGTCCACGAAGCACCAAGCTCCTCACACACGCCCTTTGTGACCTGGGGCTTGACAGCGATAATGACAATATCCGCATCTGCGCCCGCCTCGGAGTTGACCGTGGTCGTTCGCACGCCGACCGCGGCAAGCTTATCCCGGTTGACGTCCCAGGGCTCTGAGACGTAGATGTTCTGCTTGTTGACACCCTCGCTCACGAGGCCACCAATAATGGCAGAGGCCATATTGCCTCCGCCGATGAAGGCGAGTTTGCTCTCTTGAAGGGATGGCATTGTTACGCGAGGGGGATTCTGGTGAGCTTGGTTTGTTTTTGGTGGTCGTCGGGGGTTTCTCTGATGTCTCGGTAAATCCCCCACTTTGACAACTTATCGTAGGTGGGGCAAATGGAAATAGCGCAGACCGCCCGATGTCGCTCCTTTGACGATGTCCGTTTTGATCGCAATAGAGAAGACACAAGATAAAACCAACTCGGTATTTGATCTGGTTTCTGTGAATTGGCTGAGCTGGTGGAATCCTGAGATGTTTATGGCCACCTTTTATAGGATTTATAGGAATCTCTTGAATATTAATTGACTCATCTCCAGCCGTCCCCAGGTTCTCGGAGCCGGGCCGGTCAGACCGGATCTGGGGTAATTGAAACAGTACGTCTGCAAGGCTTTATCTGTCTTGATCGCGATATGCAGAAATCTATAAGACAATCCTAGGATTTACGGAGGATTCCGCAGATTACTAGAGGAGGAAGGTGTGCTAGAAACCTCCTAAAGAGATATAGGATTCCATAATTGCCAGGCTTTTGGGAGTGACTGGTTTTAGCTCTCCTGTCGTAGCCCTGGCTTGGGCATTTGAATTTCTACTCCATCGTGGGATGCAAGTCCCTTTTACAGTTACCGTGCGCTCGTGGGTATCTAGATGAGTGAGAACGCCCCATTAGGCTCGATGTTAGGCGAGGTATGACGCTTGTCATAATGAGCTCATTCACTTACATATTCCCGTCACTTCTGACTTTCTCCAGGCTCTACTAGTCAATGGCAGTAGGGAATGCTTCTCTGTAGAAATTTACTGTGGAAGAATCGGAAAGTCAATTCACGAGGAAGCATTTCAGATTCGGTCACTTGTGATGTGTGTTGAATTGATCTCCGTACTACAAACTTACTGCTCTCGTCGACTATGTGGTATATATAGCAATGACGAGGGCTCTATCTTAATTCCAGGATCTGGATTTGTTATCAGGTTCTGGTTAGAGGGCCATATACAACGGCGTCGACGGGCCTTATATCTGCTACTGAGGAAGGAGACTGGACAGACACCTACTCCATCGATGCGGAAGCAAATAGCCGTCAATATATATTTAGGAGGTCAATGATAATGCCGAGTATATTGACCGAAGATTTCAAGTATCTTTCGGTGTATTTTCAACCGTCACAGGGCCCTTCAGCGACAACCGATACTATTGTGAATTTAAAGGAGGAAACCAAAACACAATAAAGTACCTTATTAAGCTCGTTGATAGTCTGCTTGTCATTCCGAACGAAAAAAGTCCAAAAAAAGAAATATGTGTGACAAGAGTGGGATTCGAACCCACGCCCCTTTCGAGACACGGAAGTTTGGATCAGGTAGACCTGAACCGTGCGCCATAGACCAACTCGGCCATCTTGCCTCTTTCAGTGATTGGTCGCAACAAATTTCGATTAATATCCTTATTATCCAGAAATTTCAGTGCAAGGTAAAACAAGGTCATGTCACTAAGAACAGGAGAGTGTAACCTTCTGCCCTCACGAAAGACATAAAACCCACCATAACTATAATCTACGTGTATGTATCTCCGTATACAATAGATAGCACTAGTGACACTTCTATGCAGGAAGAATACCCATTTAAATTCAGTAATCTATATCTAAGACCGGTCAAATGATCGAATAGAGACGAGAAGGAAGAACCGCAAATGTCCAACGCCTAGAGATCACCACCCCAAAAACCTCCGTTCAGTATGACATGACTGACGAGGCATAAGTAACAAAAAGCCACCACGCTAAAATACGAAACAGTAAAATGAAAGCCTATAAGACGATAGTCGCTTGAGAAGGTCGACAAGTCAAGCGGTATTTCATGGAAGCCAGACAAGACCTCCAGTCATAAGGCGCCATCGGACAAGCATAACGACCAAATCATATAAAAAGCCGGAAAAAACGAACAAACCAGAGAAGGCCACACCAGATAATATGTACAACCATATATGGCGACCGAAGACACATCGTGCCAGGTGAATGACCGAAAACGATCGATTCAATATGCCGGACAAGATAGTCCATGCGCCGGAATTTTCATGTTTATTTACCAAGTTTCCTAGATACGATGTCAGAACTTGCTCCTCATCTACATAGGGAAATGGCACGAGGTTAAGAGGTGGGTTCAACTTACCGCAATATATTGACCCGCCTCTTTCTTGCGCTGCCAAAACAGCTCTGCCTCCTTAGCATTCAAGTTGCCCTTCGCCATGGCAACCTCGACAAGAGCGGCCTCTACCCCTTCGCCCATGCCCTTGCCACTGCCGCAGACAAACACACGACCATCCAGCGCATTGATTACGTACCAGACCAAATCTGCCTGATGGCGCACTTCCTCCTGGACATAACGGCTCTCGCCACGGCGACTTTGCACCACAGTGCGAACTTTGTCCTCGTGCACACCCCATTCACCACTGTACAACTCATCAAGTAGGGAGTCACGCACACCCTGAAGTACCCAGACTTTGTTGGCACAGTTGGCCGACTGCAGCCGGCGCTGGACGAACCCGCGGAATGGGGCAATGCCGACCCCGGCTCCGATCAGAAGCATAGGCCCATCCGAGGCGAAGCGCTTCGCCAGAGGATTCGCCATCAAACCGCGGAACATGGGGATGTAGAGGTCATGTTTCTCACCAGCGGCTTCCGCCTGGATTGCGCGCTGCGCAAGTCGCTCTAGATAGCCGGAGCTCACTCCGGTGCGGTTGCCGCCGCGCCAATCTTGGGATTCAGCGACGGTGACGGCAACCTCAATCAAGCGGCGGCACTCGGTGCCCTTGAAGTGGCACGAAATCATGGGGTCCTGGGAGAGAGAATAAAAGCGTGGCATAAGAGTATTCAGTACCGAGAGGAGATGATCGAGAGGAGGTCGAGAGGAGGGGAAAGCGTGTAGGAGCTGGGACAAGCTGATGTGTGAGGTGGTGCGAAGATCGCAGAATGCGCCTTGGCCCTGGGCCGAGGACAGATACTCGAGAATCTTCTTCTCGTTCTGCTCGGTCGTGTACTCGGCCAGGAGGCGAAAGAGAGGTTTAGTTGGTGGATAGCTTTGAATATCCGAGCACCAGCTAAGAACCTCGCGCCGGGTAGTGATCAGCTCGCGGGGCTTTTCGTCGCCCCAGATAGTCGGCCAGCGACCATTGGTCGTCCACATGCACACCTTTCTATCGCGCATTGACCTGGGAATACCCAGCAGATTGAGAATGTCCTCCACCTCCTCATCCTTGTTCTTGGGGCAGACGCCAATGGCCCCACCGACGACGAAATCCACCATCCCACTCTCGGCGGGGTAATCGGTAACATCAATGTCGAAGTGATATGTACGCTTCTCCGCACCACCCTTGGTCAACTCCCGGGCATGATGGAGCGGAGCTCGATACACCTCGTAAGGGGGATGTGGTTGTACAAATTGCGGCGGGTGATCCGCGGGGCCAAGAGGAATATCGGTAGCGGATGCAGGGGCCGGCTTGAACGAAACAGTCTTCTCTGGCAGCGGGGCAATGTTGGAGAGAGGGCTGTCCAACGTGAGTAGGTCTAAGTTCAACTCCAGACTGGCGAAAGCTTTGTTCTCAGGTGCTGTGATCGAATTGAAACCGGAGATGGGCCCGTCCAGTAGCTGCAAGGGTCGACCGCGGCAACATCCTCCCCCGCAACACATGGACTGGATTTTTTGTGTACCGCTTGTGCCCACGTTCTCCAAGACCCGTCGCATGTCCTCGGCGTTTTGGGAGATCAGAATGGTCGAAGCCCGGCGCTGGCGGCCATTAGGCTTGTAAGTGAGGTCTTCTTCGGACCGTGTGTCACTCGGCGGAGTAATTGGGGAGTCGGAGGAGTTAGAGCCGACCGAGTCGGTTTCTCGAGAAGTGGATGAGCCATTGAAGGTGGTGTCAGTGACGGAAAGTGACCGCACACCACGCGGCTCCTCGGGGATTGGATTGTCAGGATGTGAAGTTGACGACACCGGGATCTCTGGGAAGATGCCCTTGCGGGGGCGAGACTCTGATGAGGCGACAGTCGTTGACGGCATGGTCGTATTGACGGCGTGGACTGTTAAAATGATTGGTAAGTTGGGGGAGAACAAAGTATTGAGAAAGAGACGGCACGTACCCATCGAGAGTAGACGAAGAATGAAAAAGCCGAACGGCTATTGTTGGAGGAGGTTCGAAGTTCGGGGTGGGAAGAGTCGGGAAGTGCCGGTCAAAAAAAGGGTTTTGAGGGGGCGGCGAAGGTAACTGGCAGAGGCGAAAAGATACGGGACGGAGCTAATAACCTTCTGGGGGTGGGCTATAGATTTCCTGACTGGTCGAATGGGAGAGACCAGTGGAAAGGTAACAGAGGAGAGGAATTGAAGGAGGAAAGAAGCGAAGGGAAGGAGTCTTGTCAGTTGAAAATTAGTAAATTACGGGTGTCGGCTATGGGGGGAAGGGAGAAAAAGCGGGTTCGTACGCCAGATTCGGGGAACTCGATCGTTCATTAAAACGAACAAAGTTTGTTATCTGATTTTGCCACATTCCGGGTAAAAGTATAAATCAAGATCCGGACTACGGTAGTACCATATATAGGCGGATATTATATACATAATTCTTAGGTTGATTTAGATCATACTGGACCTGATAAAGAAGAGCATCGTCGATCGGAGAAGAATCTAGGGTATCGTTTCGAGAAATCGAGGACGAAAAAAACAAATATCATCGAAAACTTCCCGTGTCAGAGATTAGCAAAAAATCGAGTTGCTTTTTTTTTCTTTCTTTTTTCTTCTTTTTTCCTTCTTTTCTTTTTATTATATAGCGTGTATATAGCCAACGGGAGTATCATTATGGCTACTATACTCCTAGAGAAGATTCGGGAGCTACCTACTGGATCTGGCGTTACCCACGTTGGGGCATCGTATCCATTAAGCCCCTAGGATCGACGGTGCATTGCAGCTAGCAAATAGGAGAACACTTAACTTTGGAGGGTCTGGACTTTAGACTCGCATTCTTATGTACAATCAATGTACTATATTATTAATCTTACTACATTATGGAAATGATATCGCGTATCTCCTTCGTAAAACAAAAGTCCATGTAGGATATCACACAAAAAAAAAAAGAAAGGCTATGGAAATATTCGCCAAGGTCGTACAAGGAGAAAATAAAAAACAATAACTAAAGGCGTGATTTTGCTCGCACGAAAATACGGCAAGTTCCGGGTGGGCCGATGCCGGACCGCGGAATCAGATAACAGATTACTTACATACAAAGGCGGTGTCCGGTAAATAATACATTCCCGCGTTATCAATCGGGTTTGGGATCCATCAGATAACGGGCAAGCTAATACCGTTCAGGTACTCTCGGCCCTTAGAATAATTGACCTCTCTTCTCAAAGTTCTTACTTGACTGAGTAATCTGGTATCTTCTGGCCTACGTTTTTGCTACTCTTTTAATACCATGATATCTTTAGCTGTCAACTGTCACGGGCCAGTGCCCGATATAGGTCACGTGTATCACGAGACCTTGGCATGTTGACGTGGGGAACGCACGGGATAAACTTCTTCTCCTTAAGCTTTTTGTAAACAGCATGTTGGCCTAGTCAGATTGAATCAAGTCTTACTTCAGCCCCTTCACATACAAAAAGCTTCTTTCTACACCTAGAAGTATCATTGGTCATTGGAAAGTCCTAGGAAAACGACCTAGGCACTCATTGGAAATACCCCTGAATCCCCAGCGATTCAGCGACGAACACCTATTAGAACGGAATCCTCGCGCATAAACTCTTAGCGCTCGAGACGTATTGGAAAGTCCTAGAAGACCTCAATTCCTAGGCATATTAGATCATTGGCACATTGGAAGCGGAAGGTAGACGAAAAGCGACCGAAGCATTACCGGCACGCTACACAACCCCTGGCAGCTATGCAGCACCAGGAATCGACGAGCCCTCCTGGGTGGGCGCAAACGCTACTGCAACAGATAGCACAGACCCAGGCTATGCAGAACGAAGAACGGGAGCGGCACTACCAACAGGAAGCTGCTCAAGAAGAACGGATGCGTCGCCTGGAAGCAATGCTAGAGCGCCAAGTCTCACTGGCCACAAAGACAACCGCGACGAACGAAGGACAGGCGACACCAGCGCGATCGGCTACCGAATCGGTGCCGATCTCCCCACGAACAGAGATCATTCACCGACCGAAGCCCCGTCTCCCAGACCCAAAGTTATTCGGGGGAAGCACGAGCGATTGGCCAACCTGGCGAATTTCGATTGAGAACAAGCTTAGCGTAGACGGCGAAGCTATTGGTTCTCCCCAGGACCAATTCATATATGTCTTCTCTAGACTAGAGAAGCTTGCATGGAAGAACACCGGAACCTTTGTGAAACTCCGCCGAGACACTGGCGAACCACAGGCCTTGCTCGACTACCTCGAGAATATCTACGGAGACCCGAATGTCAAAGCACGCGCAGCCAGGCGACTCCACCAGATTCGGCAACCGGAAGACATGAGCTTTTCTAGGTTCCTGCCACGGCTAGAAAAGGAATTCGCTGATGCAGACGCTCTTGATTGGCCTAATGAGGCTAAGCGACAGATTCTTCTTAGCGCACTCAATAAGACAATGACGAATTCGTTAATGAATCGGGGTATCCCCGCTACCTTTTCGGACCTGATTTCTCGGCTTCACGAGATTAGCTCCGATATGGATGCCCTTGACATCACAAGAACGGAACGAGCACGCAAGTCGCATACGCCTGGACAGAATGACGACGAAATGGATTGGACGCCTACTGTGTCGGTAAACCGAACCGAAACCTACACGAAACACCACCGATCCAGGACTGGAGTGCCGAAGCAGGCTCAATGGGTTAGCCAGGACGTACTAGAGCAGCGGCGGGCCGATAGGAAGTGCCTACGATGTGGAAAGGTCGGCCACTTTATCGGGACGTGCACACTACTACCAGCACAACGGCCTAGTAGTGCACGGATTGCGTCCGCTTCGAGCAAGAAGGGAAAGGAGCGTACGGTCAAAGTGAAGAAATCGAAGCCTGTGAGCGACCAAGATTCAGTCACAACAGCCTCTGACGACGAAGATGTGACTACTGAGGATGGATCGGGAAAAGAATAGCTCCTGTTCTGAGCCGCGAGCAGGAGCAAAAGGGGGTCGAAAAGCTACTGGAACGTGAGACATTACCGTTCATAGTCGATGCTAGAGTGAATGGAATCCAATTTACACAAGCTCTCGTCGATAGCGGTTGCCGCTGTTATGCAACAGTAAATGAGTCCTTAGTCCAGTTATTCGACCTCCCGCGCATCAAGATACAGCCACGAATCCTCGACGGAGTTATACCGAATCAGTACCGAATCACCCACGCCACCCACTTCGACCTTGATATCCACGGCCATCAACAAGGCCGTGTGTTCGCCTATATTATCGGACCACAAAGTGATAGTATGATACTAGGAGACCCATGGTTACACGACGTGAACGGGCGATATTCAGCAAGAAGAGGATACCTAGATATTTTCACAAGGTCTGGGGAGCGGACGAGGTGCTGGAATCGCACAGATCGCACTATTGGGCCTATTGGGGTGAGGGCACTACGTGTTGCCCAAGCCGAGGCACTATCTATCCGGCAACTCATACAGAGCGTATCGGATATGAATCGCCTGCGAATCGGTAGGGTTTCGCTAGACGACATCGAGAGAGCACTTCGTCCTAAGAAGCATATCGACCCAAAGGACAAGCTACCAAAACACTACTGGCGGTGGATAGCGGTTTTTAGCCAACAACTTGCTGATCAGCTACCACCACACCGGCCTGGGGTCGATCACAAGATCCCTTTGAAACGCGACCGAAACGGCGTCGAAGAGCCACCACCTTATGGTCCTCTTTATGGCATGAACAAGGAAGAACTCCTTTACCTACGGAAAACGTTAACAGACCTACTCGGGAAGAACTTTATACGTGTGAGCCAATCGCCCGCGGCGGCACCGATCTTGCTAGTCAGAAAGCCAGGTGGAGGCGTACGCTTCTGTGTTGATTACCGAGGGTTGAATGAGCGAACAGTGAAAGATCGCTACCCTCTACCACTAATTCGAGAGACATTGCGGAATATAGGCCAAGCCCGCTGGTTCACGAAGCTTGACATTATCGCGGCCTTCCATAAGATTCGTATTCACCCTGGAGAAGAATGGAAGACGGCATTTCGGACGCGATACGGGCTCTACGAGTGGAACGTGACGCCCTTTGGGTTAACCGGCGCACCAGCAACGTTCCAGAGGTATATCAATCAGACGCTACGAGAGTACCTTGACGACTTTGTGTCAGCATACGTCGACGACATAATAATTTACACCAACGGAACGCTAGCGGATCACCGCCGAAAAGTCGGCGATGTGCTACAGAAGCTAATGGATGCTGGGCTACAATGTGACATTGCGAAGTCGGAGTTCGAACAGGACTCAGTGAAATACCTTGGCTTCGTCGTCGAAGCTGGAAAGGGGATTCACGTTGACCCAAAGAAGGTGGAAGCTATCAGAGCATGGGAGAGACCGAAGTCTATACGGGATGTGCGAAGCTTTATTGGGTTTGCGAACTTCTACCGGCCATTTATACCAGGATTCGCCGACCTTTCGGCACCGTTAACACGGCTAATGAAGAAAGACGCTATATTCAAATGGAACGACGATTGCCAACAGGCCTTCGCGGAACTAAAAGAGCTATTCATAAACGCACCAATCTTGGCACATTTCGAAGAGGATCGCCAAACAGTCGTGGAAACTGATGCCTCCGGCTGGGCAACTGGCGCGGTTCTATCGCAATATGGACCGGACGGGCAGCTATGGCCATGCGCCTATCTATCTCAGAAGCTATCTCCAGCAGAATCAAACTACGAGATCCACGATAAGGAGCTTTTAGCGATTATACGTGCTCTACGCGAATGGAGACCCGAGCTGAAAATGGTGCCTCGATTCACTATCGTGACGGACCATAAGAACCTTCGATACTTCGGAAAAGCACAACATCTTAACGAACGGCAGATGCGATGGGCAGATCTCTTAACAGAGTTTAACTTTGACCTCCGTTATCGCCCTGGCAAGCTTGCGGTGAGGCCGGATGCACTATCACGACGGAGTCAAGA